GAGGCAGAGGCAGGCAGATCTCTGTGAGTTCGAGGCCAGCCTGGTCTACATAGCGAGTTCCAGGACAGCTGGGGCTACAGGGAGGCCCTGTCTCAAAAAAAGAAAATGGAAATCAGAAAAGGGAATAGTTAGTAGAAGCCAATGAAGGAAGTATATATTTCTAGGGCTGGTGCTGAAGCTCAGTAGTAGAGTACTTGCCTCACATGCGTGAGGTCCTAGATTCAGTTGTCAAAAACAGAAGTATGCGTCTCTCCTGAGAAGCGTGTGCCTGGCAGCACCTGCCTGACCCTCCTGCTGGCACTCCTCATCGAAGCCCTACCCAAGCTCTGCTTCCTAGCAGAGACTTTGGCAGCTTAGCTTTAGCCTCATTATTTGAAGACAATGAGGTTTTAGCACTGAGCACCAGCCTCGGTAGGCTGGGTAGAACATAAGCATTAGCTCTTTGGACCAGAAATCCAGCTAAGTAAATAAGAAACTGATCCCAGTGCCGGGTTCTAGAATACTATTCAGCCAAATGCCTGTTTGGAGCCATTCTCCCTCCCCTGTCAGCAGGACTGCACTCTTGGTGAGGAACTGTAGGATCATAGGAGAAGAGTTGGCCCTGCTGTAGCTGATGACCAGGGAAGCCTGCAAACCCGGGTCTGTACAGGACACGCTGGAATTCTCACCAGTCTGTGAAATCTTCCAGTGGTCAAAAGTGCTGGAGATGGGGCTGGGGGAAGTACAAGAGAGGAAAAGGTAGTAGGAAGTGGATATGGTCAAAATATATAGGGATACTTGAACAAGAATGTCAGTATGAAACCCATCACTTGTACAGTGAATCTGCCCTAATGAGAAAAGAAAGTGCTAGAATAATGTGGGCAGGGAGGGTCCCTATAGACAGGTTGAGGCTGCTGAGCAGGGAAACCAAGCAGAGACCTTGAGAAACCAATTCTAGCTCTGCTTCCCTTCTGTTTGCAAAGACAGTGCTGTTTTGTTTTGTTTTGTTTTGTTTTGAAGGGAACATGTAGCACTGTCACAGTGGCAGGTGGCAGATTGTCAACAACCTCTGTGGAGCAGGGCTCAGGATGCTTGTTTCTCAGGGTATTGAGCCCATCTTCACCTTGACTTCTTTAGCCAGGGCCAGTTCCTAGCCTGGAGCCTTGTCACCTGTAGCTGCTGTGCTCTATGCTAGTGGTCATGGTAGCTAAGAACACTATCCTAGTCCCTTCCTTTCTGGTCTTGTGAGTTTGGAATTTTCTGGCAGAACTGGTTAATCTCTCCCTTCTAAACATCCAAGTGTTGCTTCCCTCTCCTGTTAGTTTCTTAAGAGAGTTTCAAATCATAAATCCTTAACAGGAAAATTTTGCAGGACGCCATTCTTTATTTACCCTTCTCGTTGCTATCTTCTCCACATACTTCTCCAACTCGATCAACTTTTAACCAAATTCAGCCTTTTCCTCTCTGTTCCACTTATCATGCCTCAACCAACCAATCTGCATTTTAAGTCTTGACAGCGGATGTCCCATAGGCAGCAAGGATTTTCTCTTCAATACAAGTTTTTAGAAAGCTAACATCACTGTAGCCTCTTCAGCTAAGTAGACCAGCTCCCTGCCCCCCAGCTTTGGGGTGCTGTGAAGGTGCTTACCGTAGGTTATGTTCACACTGAGCCTGACAGCTGCCATCATCTCACTCTGGACCACCTGGAGCCATCCCTTCTCTACTTGCATTCTGCTATCCTGGGGGGATGGACACTGTTAAATCACTGATAGCTTCTGACCATGCTCCCAGAAGATAGCACTGGATGAGGCCCTGGTCCCTAGGCTAGCTGCCAGGCACCTTCAGGCACCTGACCTGAAGATCTGCTCTGTGGTCCTCTACCTCCTGTTATGCTCCTTGCCTCCAGGGTAGACTTTTTTTTTTTTTAAATGTCTTTTTGAGACAGGGTATCCCTGTAGCTCCAGCTGTCCTGGAACTCACTATGTAGACCAGGCTGGCCTCGAACTCACAAAGATCCACCTGCCTCTGCCTCTGAGTGCTGGGATTAAAGGCGTGCACCACCATGCCTGGCCAGGGGTAGACATTTTTAAAAATCTTTTTTCAAACATCATTTTGTTTTAGGGACTCAGACTAAATGAATCAAGGTATATCTTGATACTCTTTAATACATGTCACATTTCATAGAAAGTGGCTTCCTTGGGAAGTGATCAGGGAGCAGAGTTTAAATGAAAGAACCAAGTTGGCCAGACCCTGCCTTTCTCCTTCTGCCATTACCTCCCCCACATACCCACACCCACATTACTTCTGTCACTGGCTTCCTTGTATCATGCAGAACCATTTTGTAAAAAAGTTATTTTAAAATTTTTATTTATTTTTATTTTATGTGTATGAGTGTTTTTACCTGCATGCATGTAACTGCATCCGTGCATGCAATACCCATGGAGGCCAGAAGAGGGCATTGAATCACCAGGCACTGGAGTTAGGGATAGTTGTTAGCTGCCACGTGAGTGCTGGGAACTGAATCTGGGTCCTCTGCAAGAGCAACCAGTGCTATTAACTGCTGAGCCATCTCTCCAAAATCCATTCAGAGCCTTTTAAGCCCTTGGTGACTTTAACAGTGAAATAGTGGCAATAAACTCGAGAGTGTGGCTAGCTCACCTGTCACAGCTAAGCTCCTCCCAGCTGACTGGGTGTGACCCTATCATGGAACTCAAAATGTAGACCAGGCTGGCCTTGAACTCACAGAGATCCACCTGCATCTGCCTTCTGAGTGCTGGGATTAAAGGCTTTTGCCACCACAAGGCTCTAATGCACTTTCAACTGGAAGAGCTTTAAGGATGGACTTGCTTTGTCTGTCTACTGGAGCTCAAATTCTATCATGTCATTTGCTGCAGCTCTTCTCGAAGGAAGTGAGCATCAGTGCATCTTCCTCTTGCCTCAACTTCTGACCCCACAGGAGGAATTTAAGAGAGTCTAAGGCTCAAATGTCTTGAAATTAAAAGCAAATGTCTGAATGTGACTTAACTATGTCCATATGCATTTTTAGTGACTTGATGATTAGATTGAAGGTAAGCAAATTCTATCCAACCCTTTGCTAAAAACAGAGTAGATCAGCGTTAACTGCCTCGCTGAATCTCAAAGTGAACTAACTCCTTATTTCTGCTGTTAAGAGTCTTCTTCCTCATGGCCAGCACATTTGTTGCTTTTCTGAATAGAACTGTCTTTTGATTTACAAGGATCACTTTAATGTAATGTATACTTACCCAACTTAAAAAAAATCTTATTATAAATACAGAAGCCCACAGGAGCAATTTTCAGTTTTGTCTTGTTTTGGACTTTTGAGTACAGAGTCATGTAACCCAAGCTGGCCTAGAATTTGCTGTCCTCCTGCTTCTGTCTCCCAAGTGCTGGAATCACAGGTGTGCACCATCACACCAGGCTTGCAGTTTTCAACCATGAAGTTTGTATGTAAAAGCATTAGTTA